ACTCCGGCTGATGGAATGGGTTGTGCTACCAACAAAATGCTAATGGTTCCTGACTAGCTTTGAATCTAAGGCCTATGGGTTTAGCTCCATGTTCTTTTTTGACTCATTATAGGCTTAGCTACATACATAGCAGCATGAGAGGGATGTTGCACACTACAGAATCATGATTAAAGTCGATCGTGAATGGGTCCATTAGAGTTCAGGCAGAGCTGTTGCTTGGCTAATCTCATCATCCGCTAACATCGTATGACCAAATAGGATTTTAGTCATATAACCTGCTACTGTGGTATCCTGTATGTGGGCAGGCTAGTTGGGGGGGTTATAGATCTGCAAATCAAATCTTGAGATGCTTACAGGGAGCCAGGTCTACTTAATACTTTAATATGCCGGCATTGCTGTGCTGACCCAGCCTACCCCCGCTACCTTTTGTCTGCAATCTGGGCATCTGAGAACCCCTGCTTATGATTTTGAAGAGCTGTTCCCAAACACGCCCACTGCAGGATCCTTGCAGTGTCTCGCATGCAAGAAACCTAATGTAAAAAAAAAATCAGAATCTTCCCAAAGCCATCATTCATTTAAATATGCCTTGATGTTTCAATTGGGTGGTGAATGCAAATAGTGGAGAGACGGGAAATGACACAGGCTCTAGGAAATACACTCCCAATGACAAATTGAGCTGCTCTTAAAGCATGGGGGCTACTCCTGCACTGAAAGGGTTAACTGTTCTTTTTTGTCTAGGGGAGCTGTGTAAAGGGCTTTTATTTACCTCATCCCCATTTTTCCCTGGTCAAGACTGATGCTCGCAACCTGTTCCTCCCTGAGCTCAGTCAATCGGAGGACTGCTGACATCATGTCTAATGCAGGGCCCATTGCCTGACATTATACATGAGTATGCCAAGGGACAGTCCACAAGCCAGAGCGCAGGGTAAGCGAGGTGAGCTCCGGCTGCCAGGGAAGCCGGGAACCCTTGGAGTGTGTTTGGGGTGGCGTTTCCCCTTCCCCCATGAATGGGCTTTAAATTATGGCTGCAGTGGATATGGGAGGAATTTAAGATTTGGGTCAGCGGTATAAACAACCGTACTTTAGCACAGTTGGACTGTCTGCTGGACAACATTTCTAATTCACTGATTGATCAGTTGTCTAGAGTTGCTGTTTACATTTCAAGACCCGTATAAAATTTTGCTATGTTTATCGGTATCGGCATAGATGACATCATAACGGTTGCATGCCAAAGTTAAAGGCAGCCGAAAAGCACTGAAAGATGGCTATTCAAGTGACCGAAGGCGTTCTTGATCCTCTTTTGACAGCCGGCTCTTGTTTCATGAAAAATATCGGGAAAGTCAAATAAAGTAAAAAATTATTTTATCAGCACTAGATGCTTGGACAGCTTTCAAGCCCAGATGTCAGGTCGAGAGACGTCAAGGTGTTAAAGGTGCTTTTATTTTGAATGCTGATTAGAATGTCCAATTACACCGTTAAAAAGGCATTTTCAAACAGCGTTTAATGACTAACAGACTTCAACATGAAGTTAAGACAAACATGGCCGCGACTTTACTCCGTTGTAAAATAAATCAATCGCAGGTCGTAACTCCTCAATTAATTTGGTTCTGCGCTTTCAAAGCATTTAGAATTTTCCCCCTTTTTTAAAATAAAAAATAAGATCATAATCTGCACACATCCCAATAAACCTATGGAGCTAGGTCTTTATTAAACCCATTTTTTAATAATCTCCACCTTGTAAAATAACGAGTCTTTTTGTTTTATTGACTTGGCTAATCTTTGAGTTTTTAACCGCAAAAGACGGATACGTGAAAGAAAAGGCCTATAAACAATTGAAAGTCGACGAGAGAATGAAAATAATGCACTGGTTGCACTTTGTAAATGTTCTTTTGCTAGAATGCTACGAGGGGAAAAAAATCTGAAATGGAATGCAGAATAATTAATAAGATTGACAAATGTGGCACACAAATACTAAGGCTTGAGGTTTTCTCTATAGCTGCTTTGACAAATGGGGCCTTCAGGGTTGTAGAATAGACGTTAGTGATGCATGTAAAGGCATTTTATAGCTATCACAAAAATATGTGAAAGTTCCCTTGAACTGACCGAACTTGAAAGTGTTCTTTTGATGGCGCACAATTGGTTGCCATTTTGTATGCAAGGGGCTACAGCCTATGTTTCTCTTGAGGGTGGGGGCGACCACAAAGGTGGGACGCTAAGGCCTCAATGAGGGTTTTTCTTTATGGGTTTCCAGACACATATGGTAATATGAATGATTGATTTTTTTGGCTGCTATAGGCATGACCTGCTCTTCTTTCATTCTCTTAGATTTTGATCTTTCAGATTGCTTATTTTATCATTTGATACTTTGGGAGATTGAAATTACATTTTAGAAGGAAGGAAATCGGGAACAGAAATGATTTGATGTCTGTGACTTTTAAAGAGAACCAGTCTCGGCTATAAGATGTTCCTCAAATTATTATTATTGTACACTTGTCCCTTTTATTCTTTACTTACAAAGTCACACTGATGTACACATTAGTCAAAGTGATTAAATAAATTGTCGCTAAGTCTGACTGTTGCTACCTTGTTTACTGCTTGACCACCCACATTACCTCCCAACTCCTGAGTGCATAACCGAGTGAGATGACAGAACTCAGTGATTTTCGTATGGGGCAAATGTACCCACTCCCTCCAGGGGCTCAGTTCCAGAACGGCCTATTAACAGGCTTGAACACAATCATATGTTTGGTTGGGAGGCCTGAGTAACACTATGAAAATAAGGATTGCATTTGCATTAGACCTGGGTACTCCCCAAGGTGTATTGGGATAGTGGACGTGGGACAGTGGCCAGGTGGTGCCTTTTGTACAACAGCAGGCTTTGTTTGCTGTGTTTAAAATGGCTTACTACTTTAATTGAAATTTCTTCTCTGAGCTAATTTTTTTCTTCCAAGATGCCCCAGAGAAGCATTACTTGCCTCCTCTTTGGTTCCACCAGTAGATGTCCTCATTCTTTTGAGTTGGATGATGAATATCACATTTGCAACACTGTTCTGATGCTAATGCCGTATTAGAATGTCATGTGCCATATTGATAAAAGCAGCGTGATAGTCCTAATCCCATTAACAATATGTCCAACAAATCCAGGTACTTCTTATTAGCAATACTTTTACATTATGTTGCATTGGCTGTGACAAATGCATAAAGTAATACCGCAATTTCAGAATCAAGGAAACTTGCAGTAAATAAGACACATTTTGTATCAAAAATCATTTGTGTTGGGAGTGAAGAAAAATGTGAGAGGATATTGTCTTATTGTCTTCCTCCACATCATTGGTTGCTAGGATGCTGGTGGCTAGGCTGCTTGCATCCTAGCAACCTATGATGCTATGCAGCAAGGCTGCCAGTGTGTTGGCAACTGATGGCACTTGACCATATGCTGTCATTGGTTGCTAAGGTTGCAAGGGCACTGGGGGACATCTAATGGCATCGCAGTGGTGTCCCTGCCTTGGAACCAGAAACATGTCTGGGAGTCAGGCAGTGTCAGCTCCAGATAGGTTCCCATTATTGTATTCTAGTTTTTGTTCTCATGCAGGATATGTACACTTCCGGCCCTGAGGTAAAAAGAATTGGGTCAAAATGAAATTTAAAAAAAAAAAACTCGTCTCTTTATTATCTCCTGAAGGGAGTAGATGTGCTTCCATCTATGGTCAAAGCTTAGCTTCAGTACCACAGTTTTCCATGCTGCTGATTCTGGCCTCCTGGGCTCATGAATGCAGCCAGAGGCCTGTCCTTGTTTTTGGATCAAATTCCCACCTGAACAAACACAACATCTGCAGCGGCCTGAGAATCCGTCCAGCTTCCCTCGGGAAGTTCTGACTCAGCAGCTTTATGAAGACACTTTCTCGTTTTTTGCTGATTTGAATATGTCCGCGTTCTGCTGGATGAACAAAGTCCAGAATATCAGCTGACTCTATATGGAGCAGACCTCCAGTTCTCCCAGGTGGCATAGGCCTGCCAAATGGATATTGTCTGTGAAGCCTGAACTGTTACTGGGATTGGCAGCAGGTGGAGAACAGAGAAATATGCTTTGGGCTCTATCAATATTTTTTTTTTCCAATGAAGTTCAATATCCATCTGGTTAGAGATGAACCATATAAGCAGTTTAAGTTCAATGTAAAGATTGTCTTCTCTGTTTTCCAAGTTGTAGGTAGAGAAACTAATGGCCTAATTGCTGGTTCTGTTTAGGAGGACACTGCCCCTACATCTCACAGCTTCTTCTATTGCATGCGGTAATAGCATTACTGTTTGCTAGATGACCAACCCTGCCAACCCTGTCATCAGTCTGCTGCAGGCAGAAATAATAATTTCTCAGTCTCCACTACGCCCAGCCAGCAGACTGTGCATTGCGACTTTGTAGCAAGTCACAAGATGTGCACCAGACTTTTGTGAACCAAGAACTGCACAGACTCGAGAATTTACATGATTGTGTCTCTGAGCCAGCGTCTCAGTCCAGGAAGTAGATGGTGATCCTGGATGATGCCTGAACAAAGACAGTGCTGTCATTCTGGAGCAGATAAAGGGAATGTCAGGGAGAGTACTTTTCTAGGTAGGAAGTAGTAAGTGTTAAACTTAAAAATTACTTATTATTATTATACAGGATTTATATAGTGCCAACAGTTTGCGCAGACATTACAATACAATACAATTCAAGACAAGATGGTAAGGAGGGCCCTGCCTGTGAGGGCTTACAATCTAAAAGGGATGGGCAAGTGATAAATGAGGAGGTACTTAGCATATATATCCTTCTTGAGATAAGAGAGCATTCTTAAGGGAAGGACTGCGATCTCTGAGAGGTAATAATGAGATTGTTCTTCCTTGTGTTTGTTTGTTTTTATTAATCATCGATAACTTTAGTTTTCCTATAGAATTCCTGAATAGAAACATTGATTTTGTGTCACATGCCGTCACCCTCCTAATAAGGCCCCGTTCTTCTCTTTCAGGCACCACAATAAGATCCGCAGTATAGAAGCCAAAGAGCTGGTACCGTACACAGCGCTGGAGATTTTGGACTTGAGTTCTAATGAAATCACTGAAATTCGTAGAGGATCCTTTCCTGCACAGCTTCGCATTAAAGAGCTGTAAGTAACGTGATGCGTGTCGGAGATGTGACCCATATTTTAACCAAACAGGTGATGTCCTCTATAACTAGGCTAGCAAATGGCTAATAAGCTACTTGATGCGGCCTTAAAGTGGAACATTGGCCAAAAATATCAAGCTGAATGGCCCATTAAAAGATACCTAATATAACGTTCGAAAAGGTGTTGTAAAGTCCCAGCATTTACTATCCTGTTATAACATCAGCATTGTAATAGGAAAACATTTTAGAGTTGTTTTTGATAATGCAATCAAAGCTTACTTGCAAAAATCCCTTTTATGCTGCCTTCCGTCTGCCCATCACTTTCACCAGCTACCTGGATTCCCAGTGTGCTTTACATCTCTTGGATGTAGTTATTAAGGGTGGGATAGAACTTGTGGAAATGTAATTTATTTTGTTTTAGTTTTTGACCATATATACCCGTTTAAAGATCTGAAATTGAATCAGAGGTTGGTATACAAAATGGGGCCGGAACCAACTAATCGATTATGAGAATAGTTGTTAACTATTCTTATTATCGATTAGTTGGTTGGATCCCCTAGCTCTCTACTTCACACTGGGATCAGGGCACAGCAAACAGTGGGCAGGTGCAATAGCCAACCTGCTATTGCAATTTGAAATGGTCAATAGCCGGCTGGCCATTGTACCAGCCCACTACCTGCTGTATTTACATTCAGCTGCCATCTGCGGAATCTTGCCACTGGCAGCTGTCATTCCCAGGCTGAAGCTATTCAAGCGCCATGTGCTTACCATAAAAAAAAATTTTAAGTAATTTTCAGTTTCGGCTTGACAAATTCTGCTGCGGGAGGTGCGTTGCAGTGCCATTCATTTCAATGGCTCCCCAAATGCGCCTGCCACCACAGTGTGGTCGCCTGCACTGGATGGTACCACAATGCAGTGCATGCAGTTTTATTCTGAAGTAAACTTTTTTATTTTTTTAACACTGCATTTGTGTATTTTATTTTAAATTTAAGGATGGTATTTAATTGTTTTTTTTGTCCGAATAATCGAAGAAATAATCGGCTAACTAATCGATTATGAAAATAATCATTAGTTGCCGCCCTAATACAAAAACCACCTACTAATTACCGTTACTCCGTTGCGCATAGGTAGTATAAAAACCCCAATTTGTCTGTGTTTTAAAGTAACTATGTGGATAAATGGATACTATGTAATACAGAAAGCCTGTGTTCTATCAAACTCTTTGACTGCGTTAGAATGTGTGACCGGTGACGTGGTCACACATTTTAACGTGATCTCGCCCAGTTTTTTGGCGGTGGAATATGTGCCCGCAAAAGGTGAAGAATTCCAACTCTTTCTCAGCTGTTCCAGGGCATATAGGCATTGCAGATCGTATGTGCAGGAGAACCGATCTGGCCTGGAACAGCTAATCGGTCCTGAAATGTCTCTTTTATCCGGCTTTGTGAGTGCAATCGCACATTCCACAAAGTCGAATAGAGGTCGCATTTCAAGACCGATCAGCTGTTCCAGGGCAGATCGGTTCTCCTGCACATACAATCTGCAATGCCAATCTGCCCTGGAACAGCTGAGAAAGAGTTGGAATTCTTCGCCTTTTGCCGGTCACATTCCACCGCCGAAAAAGTGGGCGTGATTACGTTAAAATGTGTGACCACGTGACCGGCCAAACATTTCAACCCAGTCACAATCTTTGATGGAACACCTGCGCTGAGTGTGATACGAAGCACCATACACAAATCTAAATGGTGATACAAAGTCAAAATAATAGTAAGCGTCGCCGGCCACGGTCCAGAATGAGTACAGATCGGCCTTGCGTCTCTTCTCAGAAGCTCAGGAAGGGGCGCTCTCAGCAACTGAATGTAGTATACCTTTCTTTCTTTGACTTTGATTCTAGTTTATTAACTTAAAATAACAAACTATTTAAAGCAACATTTTTCTGCAATGAAAATCTGACTCCTTCTAAAATATGTAATCCGTCCTGAAAATAAATAGTTGACATTTAACTTTTTTTTTTTTGCTTGTCTTCTGTACAGCAACCTGGGGAGCAACAAACTAAGCAGTCTCGAGGCTGGAGCATTTGACAACCTGTCACGGTCTCTGCTTACCCTACGTCTGAGCAAAAACAGAATCTCCCAGCTTCCTGTCAAAGCATTCAAGCTGTTCTCACTAACCCAACTGTAAGTATTGAG